TATCATTGAGGAAAACGAGGTTGACGTGACGTGATTGAATCAGGGAATCCGTGTGTCCACCACGGGAGAGGATCCTAATTGACTTTACATTGGCATTGTTTTCGTGGTGGCAGCACGTAATTTCAATCCATTATGTGCTGCCACCACGGAATGCGGTGTTAAGAGGTCGTGGTTATTTCACTTATTTCTGTGAGATCAGGTTGCCACCGATAGTGCACGCAATATGATTGCAGCGGCCAGGCAACTCCCATTCAAACATATGCCCTGCATCGTACACAGCGTCCACCGAGCCATCACAGTGTCTCTGCACAACAGGCCAATGACAGTGTATTGGCTAAATGCAGAAAGGTAGTGGGCCATTTCAAGCATAGCCCATCAAACGCAGCGGAGCTTGAACAGCAGCAGGTTTGTGTTGAGAAATGTGTGGAGCGCTACAAGGCAGAGCCCCCTTTTGTCATGGAGGACTGTCCCCAGCAGTAGTGGTCCAAACATGAAGGGGCACACAGCGAGATGGTCTGCCTTGCACACAAGTACTTGGCAACACCTCCCACATCCGTACCCCGTGAAAGGTTATTTTCACTCTCAGGGCATGTTGTTCAGAAGAAGCGAGCTGCCCTGTCGTCTGAAAATGTAAACAGGCTTGTCTGTTTGAGCAGTTGCTCAAACAGACAAGCCTGTTTACATTTTCGGACATTAAGCCAGTTGGCTTAATGCAAAGAAAGAGAAGTAGGCTAATCGGGACCTTAGTGGTGTTTCTATGCCTAACTGCACTATATAGGCTGAGTCCTAGTTCTGCACTACATATGCACCGTTACATATGCACTTTGTTTGTTTTAGTTAATTTTTTTGTATGACTGCTTTGTTCCCAGTAAGGATGTGACTGACTGACTGACTGACTGACTGACGGACTGACTGACTGGCTTATTGCTGACTGACTGACGTAGTGACTGACTGGCTTACTACTGACTGACTGACTGACTGCTGATTGACTGAGTAGCTGACCACTGACTGGCTACCTGACTGACTGACTAGTGACTGATTGACTAACTTCACTATATAGGCTGAGTCCTAAATGCACTATACTGTATAGGCTGAGTCCTAGTTCTGCACTACATGTGCACCGTTACATGTGCACTTTATTTGTTTGTTTTAATTTATTTTTGTGTGACTGTTTTGTTTCCACTTAGTAGGGGATGTGTTTTGTGAGCCTATGTTTTCCACCAGGATCCAGGGAATGAACTTGGGTTGAACTTAAGTTGGACACACTATATGACATTCAGGTCAATATGCCCATTTGTTTTTCCATGTTGGGCTCCATTGTCATGTTGTGCTTTCAGCATAATGTTTCAATTAAAATGCATTTGCATAAAAAGCATATTTGTCCACTCCTATATTGATGAGTATTAAAAAACTTTTCATTTAGAACAGATAAAAAATGTGTGATTAATTTTCGATTAATTGCGAGTTAACTATGAAAATCATGTGATTAATCACGATTAAAAATTTGAATCAATTCACAGCACTAATATATATACATTAGGGATGTAACGATTACCGATATTACAGTAAATCTCAGTTAATTTTTACACAGTAAGAATTACCGTTTATGTTTAAATTAATTGCATTATCGCGGTGGATTATCAGGATATGTAATAACAGCCTCATCCAAGTCTCGCAATGCAGGCGCTGCGTGAATGCATAGCTTGTGTAAATACAAAGAATGAAAACATGGTAGAAGGTGGTGATAGCAGCACTCAGGAAATTTTCCCCCCAAACTAAACGCACAAAATCTGAGGTCTGGGCATACTTTGGGTTTCTGAAGAATGCCGAGGGACAGCTGGTGGAGGACAACTATCCTGTGTGCAGAACATGTTGAAAGAAAGTTGCTGTGAAGGGTAGCAACACTACAAACCTGCTGGCTCATCTCCGTGACCGTCATCCACAGCTTTACAGTCAATGCAAGGTATGCTATGCAAACGTCAGTTATTGTGTGAGGGACTTCGGTTTTAGTAGGATTGTCATAATGTGTAACTCTTGACGTATACAGGACATTTGAGCCGTATCTGTCCTCCTAAACAGCGACTAGGTTTTCCGTTTTCATTTAAGACACTTAGGAGCTAATACTAGCTGAGTAGCTAATAGCCGTATTAGCAGCTATGTTGCTAAGTGTTTCAAAATGAAATGGAGCTGAAAACACTGAGTGAAGCCGACAGAATATAAACCGACATAACATAATGTAAACATATTCATTTTATATTATCACTAATTGAGATCAACTATGACTGAATCACTATGATTATGGTTATTGTATGGCGAGCTAGAATCGATATAGACGGCCAGTTATGCATGGTATTTCGACTCTTAATTTGTTAAGTGCCTGTTTATTTATTTGCACATTTATGTTTATTTAAGGTTTAAAGTTTAAAGTTTATTTTATTCAAAGTTATTTTAAGTTGCACTATTACTTGCACAAATTTTCCCGAGGAACAAGTTTTGTTCCAATATTGTTTACATATTTTGCTGACTGTTAAAATGCCCCAGACAAATAAGCTTTGGTCTTGTAATTTGTTTACATATTTTGTTCATTTGAAATAAATCTTTCTGTTGCTGTGCCAATCCCTTGGCCCTTTAATGTGAAAGTTTCATTTTAATATAAGATTTTGGCTGTTAACATTTTAGTATGATAAGGAAGTTACAAGTATGTATTTTTTGAACATTTTACAGCATATTGTGGTATTATCGTTTACCGTGATAATTTGGTCACTATAATCGAGATACCAAATTTTCCATATCGTTACATTCCTAAAACATATATATATATTTTTTTCTTTTTTAAAGAGAGACTTGTGTGTTGTGTGTTTGTTAAATAAAGTTTTTGTTATTTTTTCTAAAATTAACACTTGTGTACCCCTCATTGTTATTATTGTGACATTTCTATCATGCAAATAGAGGGAGAAAAAACAATATCGGCCCCAAATATAGGCTCAAAAAAATCGGCAGTACATATTGGTCATCAGCTGAGGCTGATGGCAAAACAATGGTATCGGCATCGGCCATAAAAAATCCATATCGGTCGACCTGTACTTAAAACATAAAGTGTAAAATTCAGAGAGCAGGATCTTGAAGAAGCATGATCACTCCAGTGACAGTCAAACGCCAAATCCCACTATATCCGCTCTAGAAATCTCTGTGAACATTCTGGTCAGCAGAAATGAAAATATCATCCCAGCAGGGAACACCATTACTTAACTGTATTTACACAGTACATCAGCAGAAAGCTTATAAGAACAAAACATCTCATTTAAATTTACTTCAAAGTAATTTATCAAATGAATTTCTTTTACCAAAGATAACAGTATTGCTTGTGAAAACTGCATCAAAGACCACAAGGAGTGTCATTATAAAAAGCCATGGTGGGTTTATATTTTATTACTATTTAAAAGAGCTGTGTAAACCATTCAGAGCATATTTATGAGTCTGAGCCAGGATAGTTTGCACACAATTCTCAACATGGAGGTGGCTGAGCCAGTGCCTAGCAGCTAAAAAAGCTGCAAAAAAACAGTTCTAACAATGGCAACAGTGCTACAGAGCTAACAGTGTTAACCTGGGGGGAACTACAGGGTGGGTTTTACACTTCTGATATATCAGCAGTAACTGGCTGTAACTTCTGTATAAGCACAGTGCAGAGTGGTGAGGATTAGCTAGCCAGTGCAATGCACTAACATGGTTGGGTAGTCAGACCGCCTACCAGAACAAACCACAGAGAATCTTGAGTTACAACACACACAGGGGAAGCTTGTCTTCATTCTATGCTCAGGATGCCATTACTTTAGCCTGGTAAGATCATCCTGATGATATGAGCTCAACATTCTATTTCACTCTCTGTATCAGTCTAGACTTGCTGCCACCCCAAACACTTAAGAAATTACAGTAAAATCCAATGTGGGCCAATCAGGAATCCACATTGTAGTTGACAATGTAAGCAGCCAATCAGGGACTAAATTGTAGCTGATGATGTAAAATGCAGGCCGCAGCTTGAAGAACAGTAATGGCAGCTCCTGAAGCACTAACTCAAACGTTAGTAGAGAAAACACAGCTATAACTGAAGTGATTGCAGTAATAGAGTCAATAACAACAATTAAACAACAACAAGAATATGTACTCTTGGAGTTTCTTAGAGGAAATACATTTTTGTCATTCTTCTGACTGGATTTGGCAAAAGTTTGATTTATCAACTGGCTCCATTGTTGATGATGAAGATGTTCCCAATGTTTTGTTAGGCTAACTGGCTAAAGAAGTTTGTCTGTCAAGGTGAGTACTCCCACCCACTGAAAGGGCGGGCGGCACTGAGTCCAGACTGATACAGAGAGTAAAACAGAATGTTGAGCTCACGTCATCAGGATGGTCTTCTCCAGTCTGATTATTCCAACTGACAGACAGAGCTGCTAAAAGAATCATAACATTTTGGGAAATATATTTATTCTCATGGTGGTTATGGGGGGGCGTTTCCCCTTTTCCAATCTTTATTCTATGCCAGGGGTGGTGCGGCTCTTTGCACATCAGTGTGCTGCTCTTCGATCCATTAATTAAAACCATCAGCGTGCAGCTCTTCCATCCTTCATAAAAAATCAATTCATTGTTATGAGTGCTATAGCCCTTTAAGAAATGTAACAGGCCTAAGTGGAGCGAGTAAGAGAGAGAGGAGTGCACATGGGCAGGTGAGAGGGCGTGGAGTTTGGGAGGAATGCAGGACAGCGCGGTGGCGATATCGATATAGCAAAAAATGGCAGGGAAGAAATGCGTGGCTAAGCGATAGTATGAAAATGAACAAAGGACATTTTTAGCAGAGTCGGAGAGTGATTTTGTGTGAGGAGAGAGTATGAGAGAGGGAGAGACTGTGTGGAGAGAGTATGAGAGAGGGAGAGACTGTGTGTGGGTGTGTGTGGAGAGAGTATGAGAGAGGGAGAGACTGTGGAGAGAGTATGAGAGAGGGAGAGACTGTGGATGTGGAGGGGGGTGGAGAAAGACAGTATGAGAGGGAGAGACTGTGTGTATCTCTATTCATGGTTATTCATTTGTGTGTGAGATAAATAAATCTGGCTTTGAAAATTGGAAATGTATGGATTTTGATTTTATGTCATTTCGTGTTTGTGTGATAGAGGGAGTGCGTTTGTAACCACACATGTGTATGATGTGGCTCTTTGTAGTACCACAGTAATTTTTGTGGCTCTTGGTCTCTGACTGGTGGGCCACCCCTGTTCTAAGCTAACTAGTTATTGCTGAATCTTATTATCTAACTTTTGGCAAGTAGTAAATAAGCATATTTTCAAAAATGTCTAACTTTTCATATCTAGGGCTACTCCAGTGGTTTAGTATAAGCCTATATTTTCATGAAGTTAGGGGACTAAATACACTCTGCAAACTGTTTCCACAGGCTGAGAGGGACTCCTTATGATGAGTACATTGACTTTGCCATGAAAACTTGGTGGTGAATGCCCCCTTTAATCTAAGTGTCTGTCTCAGAGCAGTGTACAAGCTAAGATGCTGACTATTTGATGTCTTGACATTTCAGCATGTTAAGATCTCAGCTTTTCAGTGCTGTGTTAGAGGTTTTTTTATGTAGCTGGGACCAACATGTAGGACTTTAAAAAAAATAATGTGCAGGGTGGGTGGCCATACAAGGCCTGCCATTGTTAGTTTTTATCATTCTCCAATTTTACCTGCTCAAAACTTGAAACTTTGCTTTCAAGTCTCAGCTCAATTCTTTATTAAACCAAGCCTCAAGTCTCACAGCATTCAGGTCTCCAAGAAGCTGCTTACCTGTAGGCTGCAGAGGCAGATCATGCTGTACATCATCTGGGTGACACAGAAACAGTGGCGAAAGTTGTGGAAGGGGTTATTCTTGTAGTTGTCATGAATACAAAGCTACAGAGACAGACAGACAGACAGACAGACAGACAGAGAAAGAGAGAGACATGTCAACAAGACATGTTTCACTATGAGATAGATTTTGTTTTTGTTTTTTCATTATTCTCTTTACTTTTTATTTTTTAGAGAGAGAGAGAGAGAGACAGACAGACAGACAGACAGACAGAGAAAGAGAGACAGAGAGAAAGAGAGACAGACAGACAGAGACAGAAAGAGAGACAGACAGACAGACAGAGAAAGAGAAAATGACAGACAGGCAGAGAAAGAGAGAAAGACAGACAGATAGACCGACAGAGAAAGAGAGACAGAGAGGAGGCTTGAGATCTTTGAGCTTTTGGTCAGTAAAGTATTTAGAGATATTGTTGTGGTGTGGTGTGGTGTTGGTTGGTTTCTAATTGAATTTGCAAATCGTACTAGGTCCAGGTCTCACCAGCCATCTCTTGAGTGTGATAGGGTTGATGTTGAAGCCTTTGACCAAGCCCAGGTCATGGTACATATGTTCAAGACAGCTCAGCATCTGAAGAACAAATGCAACGAATCAATGATATGATGATAAATTACTTTTTTTTTTCTTTTTTTTTAATGCAATGATAAAATGAACCACCTTGCAGTTTTTGATTTGTAAAAACATTCTTTCTGTTGAATTTGGACAGACCTCTTCAATCATATAGTGAGCAGCACATCAAAAGATGCATATAAGCTAAGGGAGCATGTTGGTTTAGATTATGGGCTATTACACCCCTTCTTAAGGAACAAAACTACAAGCAAAATCAACAGTAAATATGTTGCTGTCAATGAATGATGTAGCTCCACAGTCTAAAAGCTGCTTCATCTGCTTTTCCAATTCCACAGAGAAAAGAGAAAAGAAAACACTTGCTGAAGAAAAATGGAAAAATGGAAATGGAATACTGAATGAAATACTATTCTAAAATAGCAGTATGTTTGAGGCTTATTTCTTTTCTTAATATATATTTTTTTAATTTTGTGAATAGCACAATAAATCTTGTTTTGTTGTAATTATTAAAGTAAACTAAATAAAATATTATTTATAAAAATAGCAGAATTTGCCTTCTGAACCTTATACCATAAAGACCAAACCCTATTTTATTTTCAACATGTGAATTGTTGTATATGTGAGTTAAAAAGAATAATAATAATATTGTAAGCACTAAGGACGGACTCATGTTTTGTTTTTTTTGTTTGTTTGTTTGTTTGTTTGTTTTTTAATTTTGGCTTGGGGAATGGATATAAAACTCTAAATGGTTGTATTTTGTATTTATTGGATGCTATTTAAACAACAACAACAACAACGTGCATTCAAACACGTAGCGTAGTGGTTGTGCCGGCGCCCCATATACAGAGGCGTTGCCTCGCTGCAGCGGTCACGGGTTCGACTCCAGCTCGCAACCATTTGCTGCATGTCATCCCCCCACTCTCTCTCACTCCCCCATTTCACTCTCTCCTGTCAATTAAAGGCAAAAGCCCAAAAAATAATCTTTAAAAAAAACAAATGTTGTCTTTAAAAATGACCAAAATTGCACCATTTATCATCGTCAAAAACTGTAAAAACAGAAAATATAATTGGATTTTCAAATATCCAACGATTCTTGAACACAACCAAATCTGAACTTAAAATGGTGATATATTATCAAAATCATTTTATTCTATGTCTCATTGAAAATTTGGCCAAATACTAACTTTTGCCAGCATGCACAACAAGAGTGAGAAACTGAGGCTTTTTTCAATTCCAGGATTTCATTTTCAACTTTTAATTTTCAAACATCAAAGGGTAAGTTTTAAAAATCAAGAATTCATGGTTGAGGGAGGGTCATGCATTTTCCTCAAATTACTCAGGGAGGCTACAGGAAAAACATTTGTAGCTTCATGGAGTGACAAAATAAACAAACAAAAATGAAGTCACACTGCAGCCACACTGCTTCTCTGATAAATAAAGAACAGTCCCTAAGTAGCATAGAATCCTGGTGAATCCATACCAGATACAGCAAATCCATCATCTCTCCCATTTTCTTGTAGTAAGTCAGTTTTCTCTCTCTTCATAGACCTTTTTCACAGCAGATATTTCCACTTGTCAAACACAGGTGCAACAAATGGGATTTATAATGACTGCATTTCATTTAGATCTTTCACTTCCAGAGCATTTGCATTGTGCATGTTTCACACTTGAGTTTATATTTGCACATTTAATGTGATGTTCTATCCTACAATCATTAAGCGCAATGACACAACTGCCCCTTAAATTAAGTATCTGCACATATACGAGCCTATATTCATTATATAGTACAGATGAGATACAAATCACAATTTTACATTTATTTTGCATCTGTTGATTTTTCACTTGTAAATTATCCTCTAATAATCCAGATTATAAATCAATCATTTACATTATGTAGAGATACTGTACCGCAAGTAAGCTTAATGTTTTACTGAATCACCATTTCATCGTCCTACAGTTCTGATCTATTTCATGTTCTCTTTGCCTTATTACATATTATCCAAAAGCTATAAACATGAGGTAATGTGAACTGAGAGAACTAATTTATTTGGCGATTTTGGTGATGTCATCAGTACTACATGGAGCCACATGGGAAAATTGTTTTGACTCACAGGAGGTCATGCAGCACTGAATCTGCTGTGTTTTTTATATTCTTTGGTGTCACAAAGAGTTCACCAACAACTACCTGATAATCAGGACTATCAAGACTGCAACTGAACATCGTATTTAGGAGATCACTTTCTTGACAGCTCTCATGACCGGCAGATGGTAGTTTAGCTTTTGATCCACTCTCATAAAATCATGTGACTGGTTTTCTTTGTTTTCACATCAGTGTCTTGTTGGAAGCAGACTGAGACCCAACTTTTTAAGTGGTCTCGATGAACAGCTTAAACACCAACCTAAACCACCTGAACCCAAAGGGAAAAATGAAGTCTGGTGCATTTTCTGTTTTGGTTCAGTTCAGTCTTAGAGATAATGTAAGGAGCACAGACATGTGCAGGGGCTCATAGTAGAGCTGTTTAATGTTGAAAGGAGCCAGGTAATCAGGATGTCTCCTGCACAACATATTTTGGAGGTTCTGCGGGCTCATTAAAACTGGTGGTAGACACCGGGGTAGATCCAGAACACGCTGGCTTGGGTACACCTTGGGATCCCCCTGGAGGAGCTCCTCCAGAAGACGATGCTGGGTAGAGGGACATCTGGACTACCTAGAAGGTTACACAACAGTGTGACCAGGCCACACATAAGTGGCAGAAAATGGATGGATGGATAGAAGGAACACCACCAATTTCACACATCAAAGTGTTTTTACAGGTCTTGAAGAGTTTTACTGCATATGTGAAAAAACTGTATAAAGCCTTTTGTTTCTCTAGAGAAGAGTTGTGTGAAATCTGATAAATGTCCATCATCGATTAGGGCTGAAGACTTCAAGTTTGAAAACTAGAATTACCGCCTTGCCATTGTATGCATCTGTGCAGGAGGCAAGTTGCACTTAGAGTCTACACCCATGTCTGTGAAAACATGGATGCTTCACACACATCCTTCCCCCAGCAGCACAGGAGATCTATACAATCAACACAGTTTCAAGGTGGACACCCAAGATCAATGTCACCAGTTCAGTATGTCTCCCCTTCTGTTCCTGAGTTATGCACTGAGTAACGGCCAGAAAAGTGTTTTATGCAATACATTATGACCTTTGACCTTTTGGATAAAAATGTCACCACTCCATTATTATATCCTGTTACACATTTGTGTGAAGTTTTGTCATAAATAGTGCAAGAATTCATGAGTGATTCAATGAGTTATGGACCAAAACATGCTATTAGGGCTGTCAAAATTGCTCAAAAATGACGTTCGAATATTCCTTCTAAAAATAACTCATAGGTTCGAACCATTTGAATTTTTTTTTCGCATTATATCCACAAGAGGGCAAACTAATACAAGGAAACATACTTCTGTATGTATTAATACAAGGAAACATAACTACTTGTAGGTATTTTTATTTCAACATAAACGTCTTTGAAAACATTTACATACCTATACATTAAAACACATAAAACAATTCTATAACATTACGTTATAAACGACCGTGGACCTCTCGCTCACCCCCCCTTTCTGACCCGTGGCCACACCGCCTGCAGAAGCGCTGCGAATAGCCTTGAAGCGCCGAGAAGCGAAGCCAGTTTCCTTTCGGCGCCCATGTTAACCGATTGTGTCATCCACACCGTCTGCGGCGCGGCGCGTGGCCGCTCTCACTTCCCACTCGCAAAGAGCTGCGGTGGTGTTTTTTTTTCCCTCCACAATCGAATATCAATTTTCACATTCGAAGGTCCATTTTTTTTTCAAGTTCGAATTTAGAATATTCGTTGACAGCCCTACATGCTATGTGAGGTTACTGTGACCTTTTACCACCAAAATCTAATCAGTTCATTGCTGAGTCCAAGTGGACTTTTGTGCTAAATTTGAAGAAATTTCCTCAAGGTGTTCACGAGAATGGGGTGGATGGACAACCCCACAACATGCCTCCAGTTGTGGCTATGGCTGGCACAGAGGCATAATGAAAACAATATGGGAATGTGGAATTACAAACAAGTGATCTTACTAGCCCTCTGTAGCCTGCTGTATCCCAGCCCTTACCTGTGCTTGAGGCTAACAGCTCAAGACTATTGGCAATTACTAGCATAAAACACCCAGGTCTCCGACCAAACTGTCAGTGGTGGTGGTGCTGCATTGTGGGCACAACTTTAACATTACCCTTATCATGTGTTTGATAAGCCAAAATCTCTGCAATTAGAAAGATTGGTCTGCATGTCCAGTTTTTGTTGTGTTAGTGTATGGTCGGTAACATCAGGCAGCTGGCACTTCAAAACACATCGTTTTCTCTTCTACTTTGAACACAGACTTTTGATCATTAATGACAATATAAAACTGAACACTTAGGAAATCATAAATAGCATATTAAATCACAGTTAATTTGCAATTTCTTCACCAGTTACTTAATCAGTTATAATTAACAGAAATTAAACCTGTGCTTGATGAAAAATGAATCAGTGGATAATCAGGGCATGAGTCTCACCTCATTCGGCTCCCACTGCCAAGCATCGAATGTAGGCAATCTAAGAGCTTCTACTGTCTCCTTAGACAGATGGTACTACACAAACACACACACACACCCACACACACAGAGGGTAAACACGCACAAAGGGCCACAGGACAGACAGGGAGACAGGGGCACATGGAAAGGAGAAGAGAGAGGAGAATTGCAGGTGAGATGCGTTTAAGCCAGCTGATCAGTCTTACCTCGTTGGCCTCCCACAGCCAGACGTCGAAGGCAGGTTTTTTGAGGGCGTCTATGGTCTGTTGTGACAGCATGTACTGGAGGCAACAGAGCTTGCAGTTAACCCTGTCTGCCTCCACCTGGCGCAGGCACACACATCTACGCACCACTACACACACTTACTGTAATGCTCATGCATATAACCTCATGTCATCCCTACTACTTTACTTTATTTTCCTAAATTCTTGCTGGACTGCTGTATCTCACCACAAAAAGGAAGTGTTTAAAAATGTTTCTTTCTGTTCAGTTACAAAATGTGCAACAAATATGACTAGCAGCAACTAGCTGTCTGCAGGTGAATGTTTTTGTAAAATACAACTTGTGCCTTTGTACAAACATTCTATGGATTCACTGCTGTGTTCTCTGAGAGTAGAGATGAGATGATTATTATCTCACAGTGACCTATTGTACTGCAGTGATTTCTGGGAATAGACAAGGACTAAACCTGACGACCAGTTACATTTTCACAACACTCACACCTAAACAGCATGGTGTTTCTGACACACCTGTCATCAGCAGACTCACCGGGCTAACAGAGCATACAGTGTAGTGATCCCTGTGACAGAGACTTTCTAGGAAAACCTACCTTTGGGTAGGAGGGCACATCTCTACGAGGAGTCAGCTTCTTATTGTCCTCCACAAAATTACTGAAAAAAAAAAAAAAACAGTTTGAAGCTACAAAGAATTAATACAAGTACCAATTCTACTAAGAATAATAATACAAAATATGAAATTCAATAATATTCATTGACCAGTCAGTGAAACAATCTCAGTCTCCAGTGTAAAACTTTTATCACCAAACCTCACCAGTCTTACTTTATCAATTACTTATACTGCTACTTATTACTACTACGACTAGTTATTTTACTCTTTGCATCTAATGCTAGAACTACCAGTGACACTGATTAAGGCTTTAACCATTGATAATTTTCCTTACCAGATGATCTCTAGATTCTTGTTTCGATTAATCAAATCTTCAACACACTTTGAGAAGTATGGACCCCAAAATGTTCAATCATGAATACAAAAGATGTTTAAAATAAATATAAATCATCATATGAATTGTGTATTGTGCCTACACTGGCCTACAATCGAATTTTTATCTAATTAATGTGTTTTTTAAACTTCATAACAGAAAATCTGATTTCAAATGGCCCTTTTTCAAAAGTTCATATTTTATAATGGCATTTTCCCAGTGACACTTTTATTTCATGACACTTTTTGTTTCATAATGTTGCTTTTCATGACAGTGGTGCTGTCATTTCTCATTTTTCTGCCAATCAAGTGCCCTTCCTCTCTCAAGCAAGCAAGCTCAACAACTGCTACCAGATTTACCAGTTCCTGTTCAAATCATGATCAGAATAAGGTTGACTGACAAGTAGGATTTTATTTACAAAGAATTTTCTTTGGTGTTTGATATATTCAATAAACATATTTAGAGGAAATTAAGATAATGGCAAGTAACTGCAGAAGAACAAAAAACATTAAAATATAGTGGAAAAATTACAACAAAATACTGTACAAAATGTTTTAGAATTAAAGATTTTCAGCAGTTGTGTGCAGGATCTTAAGCAATATTGATCAGGGGACCTGCAAAAGTTCACAGTACAGAGAATATGTGATGGGCCAGGGCGTCCTGTCGGAAGGGAGTGTTGTAAAGAGTTTGTGTCCAAAGAGTGGCATGTGATTGGCTGAAAAGTGAGATGATCACTGTTGACAGTCAGGGTATGAAATAAAATATTACACTATGAAAAGTCACATTATGAAATAAAACTTGACATGAAATAAACGTGTCACCGGGGCAACAAATACAATTATACAGTGCCCTCCAAAAGTATTGGAACAGTGAGTCCAATTCGTTTACTTTTGTTGTAGACTGAAAACATTTGGGTTTGACATCAAAAGATGAATATGAGACAAGAGATCAACATTTCAGCTTTTATTTCCAGGTATTTACATCTGGATCTGATACACAACTTAGAAGATAGCATTATTTGTAATGGGACACAAAATGTTTAGGTGAGCAAAAGTATTGGAACATATAAACTTAAAATAGATTAAAGTGAATGAGACTTAATATTTAGTTGCAAATCCTTTGCTTTCAATAACTGCATCAAGCCTGTGACCCACTGACATCACCAAACTTTTGCATTCTTCTTTTGTGATGCTTTTCCAGGCTTTCACCGCAGTCTCTTTCAGTTGTTGTTTGTTTTGGGGGGTTACTCCCTTCAGTCTCCTCTTCAGCAGGTAAAATGCATGCTCTATTGGGTTTAAGTCTGGAGACTGACTTGGCCAGTCTAAAACCTTCCACTTCTTGCCCCTGATGAACTCCTTTGTTGTTTTGGCAGTGTGTTTTGGGTCGTTATCTTGCTGCATGATGAAGGATCTCCCAATCAGTTTGGTTGCATCTTTCTTTAAATTAGACAAAATGTTTCTGTAGACTTCTGAGTTCATTTTGCTGCTGCCATCATGTGTTACATCATCAATGAAGATGAAAGAGCCCGTCCCAGAAGAAGCCATGCAAGCCCAAGCCATGACATTACCTCCACCGTGTTTCACAGATGAGCTTGCATGTTTGGGATCATGAGCAGATCCTTTCTTTCTCCAAACTTTCGCCTTACCATCACTTTGGAAAAAGTTTATCTTTGTCTCATCAGTCCATAAAACTTTTTCCCAGAATTTTTGAGGCTCATCTTTGTACCTTTTGGCAAACTCCAGCCTGGCCTTCCTATTCTTCTTGCTAATGAGTGGTTTGCATCTTCTGGTGTAGCCTCTGTACTTTTGTTCATGAAGTCTTCTGCGAACAGTAGATTGTGATACCTTCACTCCTGCTCTCTGGATGTTGTTGCTGATGTCACTAACAGTTGTTTTAGGGTCTTTCTTTACAGCTCTCACAATGTTTCTGTGATCAACTGCTGATGTTTTCCTTGGTCTACCTGTTCGACGTCTGTTGCTTAGTACACCAGTGGTTTTTTTCTTCTTCAGGACATTCCAAATGGTTGTACTGGCTATGGCCAATGTTTGTGCAATGGCTCTGATTGATTGTCCATCTTCTCTCAGATTCACAATTGCTTCTTTTTCACCCATAGACAGCTCTCTGGTTTTCATGTTGGTTCCACCTCTAAATGCAGTCTGCACAGGCAAAACCTATCATACTCAATCTGAAACTGAGCTCAGACATTCAGTGCTATTTATTGTTTGAATAATCAATGTAATTGGGAGACACCTGGGCAACAAAACACACCTGTCAGTCACATGTTCCAATACTTTTGCTCATGAAAAATGGGTGGGTTCAAACAAAAGGTGCTATCTTCTAAGTTGTGTATCAGATCCAGATGTAAATACCTGGAAATTAAAGCTGAAATGTTGATCTCTTGTCCCATATTCATCTTTTGATGTCAAACCCAAATATTTTCAGTCTACAACAAAAATAAAGGAATTGGCCTCACTGTTCCAATACTTTTGGAGGGCACTGTAGCTGCTGCGCAGCAATGGTCAGGGCTGGGCAATTTTAGGCAATTTTAGACAAATCTGGGCAATTCTGAGCAACAAGAGACAGACTAGGAACACAATAAGAAAGTTACCATTACAATGTACATTTTGCATCAGTTGAGGCTTTAACTCACAACCTCTGACACCAAGGAATATCTTCTATCTGACTGAGCTAATTAGCAAGTGACAACTTGTCTGTGGCTTCACAAATTGACTAAGCCAGCCACCAGGATGACAGCAGCTGTGAAGGCAGATTTTTAAACTGCTGTCATAAATTCAGTTATCAAGACAAAAATCTGAAAATACACATCTTGCATATAGACAGCATGGAGATGTTGCTGATTTGTTTTTAATAAAACAAGTGAAATACTGATGTGTGTGCTGTTTGACAGCAATGGTTCACATGAGGACAGAATTCAAAATGCTGTCAAAAATTCAGTTTTTGATATAAAATTCTGATATTTGCCAAACATCATCTACCATGATTCCAAAATGTTGTTATTATTATTTTTTTTTTTTTTAGCAAGAATTTGCAAGTATATGTTTACAGTACTGTTTACAGTCAAACATCTTGATGCACTCTAGGCTCAACTTTTGATCAATCAAAAATCTGTGAGAACAATTTGTGGAAGACAGTCTAAAGATGCTTGGAAGTTTGGTGTCAGTTGAGCAAAATTGTGAGAGGAGATAGGTTTAAGAAGTTTTACAATTTTTGAAAAAAAAAAAACAGTGATGGACTTCATAATTTGCAATAGGTTTAAATGTACAAAAGTTTCTTCAGTATTGGGGCTACATTTTAAATAAAGTTTTGAACTTTAGATGGTGGCGCTACACACCATCAGGACTATTGACTTGTGTTTGCAGCTGAACAAATCTGGCATCTGACTGGACCTTTGTGCAAACTTTGGTGATTTTTCATGCATGGGAAGTAGGATTTCCTTGGAAGAAGAAGAAGAAAGAGAAGAAGAAGAAGAAGAAGAAGAAGAAGAAGAAAGTACGAGCAGGAAAACAAGAGGCCCCTAAATATCTGTACTGAAAGAAAAATGTTATCCAATGAAATTCAGTTATTTTGAAAATGCAAATAACATTTCACAATACTAAGCTCAATTTTAATAATTTCTTCAGATAATTTCAGAAATGTTTTGTTCATTTTTATATATTTTTATTTATTTTATATTGAACACTTTGGGCTCCCACAGTTTGGGCTGTTGCTCTTAACTGATTTTAACAATCAACTGAATATTGTGTGATTAATTTTCTGATGAGACTAATTAATTTATCAACTAGGCCTTGTTGTTTCAGTGTTAAAATAATAACTACCATTACTACAGTAATAAATACTTTTTTTTTTTTTGCTATAACTGCACTAATAATGATACTTATGCAATACTAACTGCTCTGCATATATTCTTATTTATAGTAATAAAATACTAAAGTAGATCTCCTGACAAATTGCTTCTGTTGTGGCTGTCACCTGTTGTTTCTGGATGCCATCTCCTCATGGAGCTTCTTAATGTCGTTGCAACATTTCTCAATCTCCACCACCTTCATCCCCTCCACTGCAGACAGACAGAGTAATTTATTAAAACCCCACTAGTTCTAGTAGCAAGTTGGCCAATGCATCTGTGGGTCATTGAACCAAAGTAACAGGGCCTTAAATGATTTTATTTGTTTAGCTGGCCTCTAATGGTGACTGAGAGGTTGGAGCAACAGGTCTGTAGTGTGGCCTACCCTGGCCTATAATGGAATTTGTATTTTTCTGGTGTTCAGTGTTCATTCATTTTGTTGCTCATTAAAGCAGTCAGTCCACAAAACAAGAGGTGGACATGGCTGCATTTATTCCAGCAGGTGATTCAGTTCATGAATTCCAGCAGACAGTGAGACAGTATTTTAGACAGTTAGTTCTGAGATCTAACTGAGGCTGATGAGCTTCTTGGCTGTGACATAATGGCAAGCCATATTCAGCCATACTGCCATATAGGTAGGTGTCATTTAAGATGAAAGGCTGGATCCTCAGAAAATGCCAAGGTGGAGATGGTACACACAATCTCCTATAATGCAGGATGTATTTTTGGTGAGTCCCGTACAGTCGGTGTATAAAGGTTCCCTGATGGTCAGGGTTATGAGGTCTAAACTGTCCTCCAGCCTTTCAGAGCAGAGATGATTACAGTCAGTACCTAATTAAAGCAGAGATTAAACAAAACATCTTGTCATATAATGTGATATGAGAAAAACCTGACGTAGTTGCCTGGTTGGGCATCTTACTCTGCTAACCTCTTGCAGCAACACAACAAAATTAGCTGCTCTGAGCCAAATTTTGTACTTTTGTTAAATAATTTTGCTGTTGATCCCTAGCAGCTCACACCTCTTTCCAGCTGTGCCTGGACCAGCCCAGAAGTTCAGACCCTTGCTCCTTGCCCTGAACCATCAGAGGTGGGGCAATTGATCACAGACTCTCTAACCTGAGCCAGAAAGTTAGAGGTGCAAGCACAAGGTTTGCAACTAGCTTTCCAGCAACACGGAACTAAGTGAGTTAGCACCCAGCATCTAACTCTGCAAGGACCCCAAGCGACTGGCTTCCTCAGATCAGAACCTTTGGAACAAGGACACAGCAAAGACTGCAGCTGGAACCACAGCTCTTCCCACCCTTCTTCTGCCGGCTAACAAAGCAGTACTGTTCAAGAGACTGAGGTGAGAGCGGACTTGAGATCATGCAGTGTGCATGAGCATATCATTTACCTGCCTTTGAGTTTATGTATAATATTTCGCTACATTTAGAGGCAGCTTGTTAAGGTTGTTACAGCCTGTTTGATAAACTTGTGTTTAGTTATGTTTCACAGTTAACCCATATCACCAAGAAATCAATCAATTCAATCAATTTTATTTATAAAGCCCAATATCACAAATCACAATTTGCCTCACAGGGCTTTACAGCATACGACATCCCTCTGTCCTTTGGACCCTCACAGCGGATAAAGAAAAACTCCCCAAAAAAACCTGGCAGTAGCTCAGTCCATAGGGACTTGGGTTGGGAACCGGAGGGTCGCCTGTTCGAGTCCTCGTCCAGACCAAAATATGGAGCGTGGACTGGTGGCTGGAGAGGTGCCAGTTCACCTCCTGGGCACTGCTGAGGTGCCCTTGAGCAAGGCACCGAACCCCCCAACCGCTCGGGGCGCCTCACCAAGGGCAGCCCCCTCACTCTGACATCTCTCCACTTTGTGCATGTATAGGTCCTGTTTGTGCATGTGTGTGTCTTTCGGACCTGTGTGTAATTGACAAGCAAGAGTGAAAACATAGAATTTCCCCTCAGGGGGATTAATAAAGTAAATAAACTTAAACTTATAAACTTTAACGGGGAAAAAAAACGGTAGAAACCTAAAAAGCTAAAATATAAAGGTTTCTGGCATTTACCTCATTCCTGTACACTATAATTCTGGTTAAATCAGCTATTTCTGGCATAATTATTCCGTAACTGTATGTCTGGAAGCAGGACACAGTGATGTTTACTGAGTTCAGATAATTGATGCATATTCTTTAGCGTTATTTTGGTGACAGTTCATACATCCAGTTTAGTGCTATTTTGTGTTATTAACATGTAACTTTGAATGAGAAACTTTCCAACCTTAGAGTGTGCCACCTGTAGTGCATAAGAAGGCATTTCTTTCCAGTTAAAATATGTAATATACGCAATGAAGGAGACTGACATTGAATGTTGAAGGCCAGTTTATTCATTGTTTATTAATATTGTTTCTGTTAGTCTTTGCCTTAATAGATTATATGCAGACCATTATTTACCTTGAATTTGCTGTCTTATTTCCATGGTCAGTTGCAGTATGTAACATTACATACTGCACATTACATTTAAGGTGTAACCTGATTGTTTCTGTGGATCTTGCATGTTGTTTCCTGTAGACCACACACACTCGCCCAGCCTCTTAATAAACTGGTAAAAGGAAGTTCTGCCTCTTGTGTGTCTGATCAACACCCCTTGGCGACGGCTATCACACCTGAACCACTTAGTCTCACCTACAAGTACACCACCAAGTGACTCTTTCTCCCATCCACTCAAGGATCGGTAAAGTAACAACTGGGCATAGCTTCATCACAGCTTTACAGGCTAAGCAAGACTGTTTAACTTGTTGTATGTGATTTAATGCTGTTATTGAGTTATTGCTGTGATTGATTGCAGTTAGGTCATTGATTAGTTGGCTTCATCAAAGCTAAGTGTTTAGTTTGCTAATACTGTTCACAAACAGATTCTTGCACACAACTAAACAATCTCTGCACTAATCCAGACCGTTTGCAACACAAATCACATTCACATAGACTCATTAATAAATAGGCTTTCAACAGAGCTACACCCAATCAGGCATCTCAAAGTTCCCGCTTCTTTTCCTTTGTCTTTGTCCTGACCACACAGTCAGACAAAAACCTCCCCGGACCTGAAGCCAGCTTTGATTCGGCCATCTTGTAGTTCTTTGTTGTCAGCCATTTTGTTTTGTAGGCCAAACGGCTCTTTGATCACCACACCCGCCTTTGTCTCTCTCTCTCTCGCGCACACACACACACACACACACACACACACACACACACAAAGCTTGTATATGGGGCATTCTACCGAATGTGTGCAAAGTCAGGCTGGAAATATTTTGAAATTTTGTATGTTTTATTCCCAAAACTTTGTCCCTATATATATTGTATCATACCATATGTAAAGGTCACATATCTAGTAAAATGACTGTAAATTTTTATATTGTATTTTCAGACTGTTTTGGAATGTTTTTCCTCTCACAAAATTTGTCACTACTGAAACATATAGTATTATATTATACAAAAAAATATATATCAACCTGTTATGCTTTTTCCTTCCCTTGTCTAAAGATTTAAATTTTTACAAATTTTGACTGAAGGTTTTCACAATTAAATCTATAAAAATTAATATTTTAACAAATTTCGAAGTTCAAATTATAGAATTCTTCAAAATCTAAATGCAATCTTTCTTTGTAAAATGTATAACGCTGATCAGATTGATTTCAGAGTTAATAACTGTTGAAACAGAACATAAATGTAACCCATTAGCATCATAATACTTTAGTTGATAACTCAATATACTTTATTTTTTACAAAACACCCAGTGTTTCGGTAGTGACTGCCCTGTTCCGGTAGTGACTGCACTGTTTCGGTAGTGACCATTATTCTGTTTTTAAGGTTGCATCATATTTCCTCAAATGTATGCCTTATGGTGGGAGTATTACAAAGACAAAGACAAATGTTTTGTGGTCAATAAAACAATTTAATTTTTGAGAGAGCAGAGCAGAATAGAGCAGAGCATAGTAGAGTAGAGTGGAGAAGAGTATAGTAGAATAGAGCAAAGCAGAGCAGAGTATAGTAGAGTAGAGCAAAGTAGAGCAGAGTAGAGCAGAATAGAGTAGAGCAGAGAAGAGCAAAGTAGAGTAGAGTAGAGCTGAGTATAGTAGAGCGGAGTAAAGCAGAATATAGTAGAGTAGAATAGAGCAGAGTAGAACAGAGCAGAATAGAGTAGAGAAGAGTAGAGTATAGAGTAGAGCAGACTAGAGTAGAGCAGAGTAGAGTAGAGTATAGAGTAGAGCACAGCACAGTAGAATAGAGCAGAGCATAGTAGAGTAGAGCACAGTATAGTAGAGTACAGCAGAGCAGAATAGAGTAGAGCAGAGCATAGTAGAGTAGAGCAGAGTAGAGAAGAGTATAGGAGAGTAGAGCAAAGTAGAGCAGAGGCGAGCAGAGCAGAATAGAGTAGAGCAAAGTAGAGTAGAGCAGAGTACAGTAGAGTAGAGCAGAGTAGAGAAGAGCAGAGTAGAGCAGAATAGAGTATAGAGTACAGCAGAGTAGAGAAGAGTAGAGTAGAGTAGATTATAGAGTAGACCAGAGTAAAGCAGAGTATAGAGTATAGCAGAGCAGAGCATAGTAGAGTAGAGCAGAGTATAGTAGAGTAGAGCAAAGCAGAGCAGAATAGAGTAGAGCAGAGTATAGTAGAGTAGAGCAGAGTAGAGTAGAGCAGAGTCGAGTAGATTATGGAGTAGATCAGAGTATAGTAGAGTAGAGCAGAGCAGAACAGAGTAGAGCAGAGCATAGTAGAGTAGAGAAGAGTAGAGTAGAGCAGAGTATAGTAGAGCAGAGTAGAACAGACCAGAGTAAAGCAAAGTAGAGCAGAGTAGAACAGACCAGAGTAAAGCAAAGTAGAGCAGAGTAGAACAGAGCAGAGGAGAGCAGAATATAGTAGAGTAGAGCAGAGTAGAGCAAAGTAGAGCAGAGTAGAACAGAGTATAGAGTATAGCAGAGCAGAGTATAGTAGAGTAGAGCAAAGTAGAGCAGAATATAGTAGAGTAGACCAGAGTAGAGCAGAGCAGAATAGATTAGAGTAGAGCAGAGTATAGTAGAGTAGAGCAGAATAGAGTAGAGTAGAGCATAATAGAGTAGAGTAGAGAAGAGTATAGTAGAGCAGAGTAGAGCAGAGTAAAGTAGAGTAGAGCAGAGCAGTGCAAAGTAGAGCAGAGCAGAACAGAGCAGAGTATAGTATAGT